TATGGGGAAGAGCCGACGGGAAAATTGGGGAACTTCCACGGACCACTAGCAATTGAAAAAAAACAAGAAGATTAGAGTGACCCAACATAACTCAAGGCTGAAAAGAGGAGTTTCTGGCTAATTTTACCAGGAAAAAACTGAACTCACACCCAGCTGTGGCCGGCGGCAAGGAAGGAAGAAGACAGCAGATCTGGGATTTCTGGGTTGAGAGAGAGAGTTCTAGGCTTGAGACTTGGTTCTTGAGCAAGAAAGGAGGGAAATTCAAGAGGCCTTCACCGTTTCTCAAGAGGAGGGAAATCGGTGGCTGGGAGGGAGGCTTTCGGGAGAAGAAGAATCGAGAAGAAAAACAGAGCAGACCGTGTGCAATGAGGAAGAAAAGAAAAATATCTAAGCTTGATCGTTATCCTAATTGGTTTTCTTTTTAGCCTCTTGACTTTTGAAAATTGATGATTAAGTTTAAAAACATTATTTTCTCACAATTAGGTCCCTAGCTTACACTTAATTGTTCTTGAAAATTTTGGGGTATTACATATATCATGGCTCACTCTTTTCATTTATTCTCAATCTTCTCTTTGTTTCTTTCTTCTCTTCTTCTTCAACTTCAACACTTTTCTTTATTTTTTATTTCTCATAACTTTAGTTAATTTTCTTTGAATTTTCATTAAATCTTCATTTATTCAACTTTCTTTTTATACTACTTGTTAATCAATACTTATCTTTTATTTTTTTTCTTCAAGTTTAATTCATATTCTTTAGTTTTTTTTCTTTATATTATGTAATATTACTAACTGTTTTCTTTACCAATTCTCTTTTACCTCTATTTTCTTTAATTATCTAAATTATTTAAATTTTATTATCTTATATATATGTTTTTTATGCTTGTACTAATGATTTGAATTTTTTTTTCTAAAGGTTCCCTAATTTGGTGAAGAGTGGGGCAGCATTAGTGAGGTAATTAACTTAATTACTTTATTTATATTCATATACATCTTGTTTAATTGTTTCTTTAATTTTTATTTATTTTACATGCTTTACTTAATATGATTTAATTTGTGATTCTTTTATTTATTTTGCATTCTATATTTGTATGATTCTTTTTACAATGTAAAGTATTTGTTATTTGTTTTTATTTTCCTATGTATATGCAAATTGAATCATACTTATTAATAAATAATTATACTCATAATTAAAAAAACAATAAAAGGTCAAAAAATTAAATAAATAACAATTGTCTATAATTCATAATATTAATATCGAATTATTTTAGTACACAATTTTTTTACAATTATTAAATAATTTGATTTTTTTTTCAAATCTGGATATCTATTTCGATCAAGCTACTTGACCGAAATAGAGAGAAAATTTCCCTTCACCGTTTTGAAATTCCCCTACAAATCATTCATTACATAATTTGGTTTTTTTTTTAAAAAATAAATCTGAGAATATATTTCGGTCAAGCTATATGACCGAAATACATTGAAAGTTTTTCGGTTTCCCCCTAAATCTACAAATATAGTTTGGTCAAGTTGCTTGACCGAAATACATTGTTAATTTTCCCCCTAAATCTACCAAATATTTTGGTCAATGTCCATGACTGAAATAGTTAACTCAAACACTAGAAACAACCCTTATTTCAGTTAGTTATTTTGCCCGAAAAGTTTAGCTCAAATACCAAAAATAACCTTTATCTCTATTTCAGTCAAGGATACTAACCGAAACATTTAATTAAAATATTATTAATTAGTTTGGTCAAATTGCTTGTCCGAATGTAATAGTTAATTAATGAATTTTTTAAGTAGGTTTTCGGTCAGTTATATTAATTGAATTCATGATATGTTTCGGTCAAGATGAAATTCTCTCTGAAATAGTATTGAGGATATTCGGGCCAACAATTCAGTCAACAGCTTGACTGAACTGTTGTCTATTCGGTACTGAACAAGCCCCTAATTGTAGTAGTGTGATTAGGTAAAAAATAAGAACATCAAACTATAGAAAACACAATTATACAGCATAGTTATATAATAAACAAAAAAAATGATAGCACTAACTATTAGATTAATTGAAGTAAGAATCAGGAAGACGAAAAAAAAAAAAAAAAACATTGGTGAGACGTGTAAGCCAATATTATTACTGCTCGAGAGAGTAGAGTCTTGAGAGTCTTGAAAGTAGGGCTTTTATTTATGTAAAAGATGATTTACGGCTTTATTTTTTAATTAAGTTAATTAAGTTATATTGTATAATTATAGTACAAAATAAAATAAAAAATGTTAGTCAATAAAATTAATATTATATTACAATCATAAAAAATATTATACTAAAGAAATAAGAAAAGTAATTAAAACAAGAAAGTTAATTTTAAAATACAATTTGTTTACAAAAGTAAAAATTTTAAAAATATATTTATTTTATCAAAAAAATTCTAAAAGCATATTTACCAAAAAAACATATAATGGTAAAAATATTATATTTTAATTATGTTATTTTTTAATTAAGTGGTTTAGTTAATTTAAAAGTAAAACTATAAACCAAATCATTTATATTGGCATTAAAATTTTATAATTCAAACCAACCCAAATTGATGTTGGTTTTCAATTAAATTTTAATCAAATTAAGAGCATGTTCGGTAAAGCTTGTAAGTGTTTTGGCATTTTGACACTATTCATATTTCATAAGTTTAAATTCCTCTTTTAAAAACCTACATTTTTTAACTTCTTTTTAACTTTAAAATGATTTTAAACAGTGAATTTTGAAATGTTTCAAACTTAAGCTTTTTATAAACTTTTTATAAATTTCCTTTTTATTCATTTCTTACTTACTTTTTATTATTTCTAAAAATAACTTTTAAATTTTTCCTCTAATGAAAATTTAAACTTATGATTATAAAAGCACTAAAAAAGTAAAAACTTCAAGAAGCTTCACCAAACAAGCCCTAAATAAGTTTTTGTCAAATTAATCAATTTGGATTAGATATGAATAGCTATATACATTTGTTGCATTTGGGGTTATTTTTTTTGCATTGTTTTTTCACATAGCATCTCATAAAAATATTAATTTATTATAATTAAATTAATCTTAATTAATATTTGGTTAAATCTTTATTTTGATTTCTTTACTTTGGTACAAAGCCCTTTTTTAGTCTTTCTACTAAAAAAACCCCCCTTTTGGTCTCTAAAATTTGAAATCTACATTTTTTAGTCCCTCCGTTAAGTTTTGTATACGTGGTACATTAGATAACAAAAATTTCAAAGTAAAGAACCAAAAAGGAGCTAGAAAGGGGTTAAAAATAACCCCAATTTAGTTGCTCTACTTTAGAAAAAGCCCCGTTTTTTATCTCTCTCATTTGAAATTTCTGTTATCTAACATCAAAATTGAATAGAAAGACTAAAAATGGGTTGGATTGAAATTTTAAGGACTAAAAAAGGACTTTTTTAAGTAAGGGACAAAAAAAGGATTTGTCACCAAAGTAGAGGGACCAATTTGAGGTTTTAACCTTAATATTTTGTATAATCTCATAATCATATTATTGTATAAAATTTTTTTAAAATAATTATCAAATAATAATATAATTTTTTTATAATAAAATATCAAAACCTACAATCACCACGCCTTACAACGAATTCTAACCACACCCTATGCCTTTACTCTTTAAAAAAAGTGAGAAGCCATAAATTAAGCAGGATGCATGTGATGGATCATAATTGAGGATTGGCCCCAACGGAGGGCCTATTCTCGGCCCATTATGGAAGGGTTGCTACACACTAGAACTAGATGCTTAAGCGGAGTGAAGTGAACAGGCTGTTAACGGACCCCATGAGAATAACAGCCAAACAACTAAATAAGGACAAGTAGCTCGTGCTTTCTCTTCTCTGTCTCCTCATCCCGTTTCCCACGCCTTTATTCACCTTAGCATGGTCCCATCTCATTTGTCCTTCATTGTGCTGTCCCCGTCTTTCGCAGTCTCTCGTCTCTGCCTCTTCTCTTTTTTTTTTTTTCCTGCTTTTCTTTCTTCTGGTTCTAAAAAATTAGAAATGAAATTGTACTTTTCTTGGTGGTTTATATATTAGGAGTCATCTACTTACTGATCGTACCCTAAACCAAAATTTAATCTGTAAAAATTGTGTATAAAATTCAATAGAAGAATTATATTTGACTTAAATTTAATTAGTAATAAGTTGGATTAGTTTTTTTTTTTAATTCATATTTTTTTATTATTTTTAAATATGAGTTTTTTCTACTTTAACCCATTCTTTTCACATAAATATTTGGTATTAATTTCGAGTCTTGTTACTTGGATCTTAAATTACAAACTTAAGAGGTTCTCCTCATGTACAAATCTGATTTATCACGTGAATTTCAAGTTAACAAATAAGCTTGATATGCCTTTTGCTCATGTAGGGTTGAATTGTTAAGCATTTCAGGCTTCATAGAAACAGAACCAAGACTCTCATATCATTTGAAAATTTGATATGTAAATTTCAAGATAACACTTAAATCCAATCTAAAACTGATTAACAATAGGTAAAGTAATCTTTCTTTTATTTAACATGAGTTTTTGTTATTTTTTTCAATATGAGATTTTCCATTATCAAATTTAAAATGCGTTTAGGATTATTGTGAGGTGTTGTGACTATAATTGTGTTGTATTGTAGTTGTAACTGTGCTAAATTGTGTTGTACTGTAACTGTGATTAAAAGTTATTTTGGTATTTAGTTTTTTATTTTTTTTAAAGTATTATGGATGAAATAAGATAAATTTTATTAATTATTAATTAAAATTTTAAAAATATTGTATGACGTATAATTATTAAAATAAATAACATTTACTACTTCTTAATAATTTAGGTTTTTCAGGTTTATTATGATGGTTGTTTTTTTGGTTTCGCAAGAGTGCAACTCATGCGGGGATGAGTTTTTAATTTTTTTTTATAAAATCTTCAAATTTAAGTTTAAATAAAATATTATAAATTATAATATAATAGAATTAAATGAAATTGGGTTTTAATAAATAATTTTATAATTGTATTAAATATTGAGTGTTGTCTGATTGTCTGTAAAAACTAGGGCAAAAAAGTTTCAAAATGAAACTTCTAAATTTATATATAAAATTACTACAGATCTATTATGATTTTTTATAGTTTTTTAAAAAATATAACCTAAAAAAAATTACCAAATATACATATATATAAAAGTACTATACAATTAGAAAAAAAAAAAAACAGCTACCAACCATAATTCCAAACACTTCCTTAGACTTGTTTTATAAAAGTTTCCAGTTAAACCGCATTTTTAAATTTTATTTGCATTATTTTTTCTTTTCACAGCACTTCTCAGTGGAAAAGTTCTCACTTTTTTTTTCTCTTTGTTTTTATGTTAAAAGTATAAAGTTGCGAGGGAAATTTTTTATTGGAATATAAGGGTAAAGGAAAGTTTTCTTTTTCCAGTATAGATATCAAAATGTAACTATTCAAGTAATATTTTAAAAAATCAATTTTCGGTTAAAATTTTTAATATATGTGTATCATGTGTATATTGATATTTAGATTGATTTAATATATTTTGAAATTAATTACACAAAATTTAAATCATTAATTTATCAAAAAAAAGTTCTTTGATATAGACACTAAATCAATCTATAAATTAATATGCATAATATATTAATTAGAAAATTTATTGGAATAGTTGATTTTTCAAATTAATTTAAGAATGATTTATTTTAGTTGAGATATTCCCCAAAAAACTAGAAGCCTGTTTTGATGCCCACTATATATGGGGAGGAGTTATTTCTTGCTACTTATTTTTACTCAACTAATCTTGTCGTTTAATATCACAATGACATTTCATTACACTTTCACTCATGTTATTCATCTTTATAAGATATCAACATAATCTCCTTTTTTTTTTCTTTTTAAATGATTGGTACATAATTGTTTTAAACACACTTTTTACTATACATTTAATTTAACTAATTCCTGTATCATATGTACATGGTTATATTCTTAAATTTGTCTATTTTTAATTTCACATTAAAAAATAATAATTTTTTATTAGCTCCTAATATCTAGAAATCACATTAAATTTCAATTAATTTACAGTTGAATCGAGTTGAATTCTATAAGAAAAAAACTCTCTCAATGCTTGTTTTTATTTTAGAAGACTCAAATGTAAAATTTTATTTAAGAGAAATTGAGTTATTTTTATTCGGACCAAAATGTTGTTGGTTAAAAAATAATAATATTTTAATAAATATATTATATAATATATTAAATCAAAATATGACATCAATATCTATTATTTTTTTAGGCAAACAAAAAATTATCAAACGTGACTCTAAGGGGTACTTTAACCTTTTTGTAATTTAATTTTTATAAAACATATACCAGAACTCCCGTCAAAATAACTCTTTTTCCTATCATCGCCAAGCCACAACTGTGACCCATTCAGTGGAGACAGCTGTGCAGTGCTTCTCTGGGTGCGTTTTGCTATAATTCCAAAACTAGATCGGGCCTCTTGGATACTTTAAGCCAATAATAGGATCTTAATTTGATCAATATATTCCAGAATCCTCTACACGTCCATAACCTCACCTTTGAATAATTGTCGATTTCTCATATCCAAATAGACTATAAAATAGACCAAACCATCACGACAAGAGGAAAGATTTTTAGTGACAAAAATTTGTGATAAATTTTAAACTTGTTACTATAACTCAATACAATTGTATTTTAAAAATTAATTACAAGTGCACACATGTTCAACAATTATAATAAAAAAAATTCATCACTAAAAAAAGATTTCGTCACTACCACATGATTACAAAGAAAATATAGGCTTGTAATTAAAAAAATTCATCACTACAACTCATTATTATTAGAATGAATTATATATATTGGTTATAGATACCTATATCTTCAACGATAACAATATATATATATATCACTAAAAGGTATTTTGTCACTTAAAAACTATTAGAGAGATAATATAGGCTTGTGGAGATGAAAATCGTCATTAGAACACATCACAATTGTGAGACATTTTAAGTATTGGTCACAAATACCGACATATTCAATGATGATAAAATAAATCATCTCTAAAAATTGTCACAAATAGTATATAAGCTTTCGATTATGAAAGTTATCATTGTAACTCATCACAATTGTAACAAATTTCAAATATTAATAATAGATTTCACCCACTACAAGAATTCACTGTATCACCGACGAGCAGCCATGTCGGAAACAAGAGGGAATTTGGTCGGTGAAGTCCTATACCCACTTGAATCACGTCGGTGTTCGGTTGCTCGGTGAAGTCGGGCTCGGTGATTCAAACACCGACGTAGATGGAAATCACGTCGGTAAACGTACCCAAAATTACCGACAAATAACATCTTGGAAAGAGGGAGCCGGAACACTTCACCGGAAAACATCTCTGGTTCCACGTCGGTAAATCACCAACAAGCATAACGTCTGCATATAAAAAGCAGCCTCGTGCCCAGTGCCTATCACCGACGAACATCACGTCTGACAATCCAGGAAAACTGCTTTGCAATTTGAGCCATGTTAGTAAATCACCGACAAAAACCACGTCTGAAGTACACAAAAATCTTCCCTCCAGGTTTAAATGATCTCCAAAATTTTAGGCGCCAATTTTTTCA